AGGCAAGTGCTCCACCACTGAGCCTCAACATTCAGCCCCTCAACATTCACTTCTATAAAACCAAGTGTTAGTTGCACCCTCCATTCCCAGCTGGTTACGGATGACCAGATAGGTGTGTATGCCTTTTGCAGCAGGTCTGAGGCTGCTTGAATTGGTTTAGCACACAACCAAATGATTTGGCTTGAATGGTCTAAATTGGTTAGTACCTGTTCAGCTTGCTTTCATCTGATTTTAGTTGTCCTGAGCTAATTTGGGCTGGTTTTAGTTTGATTTTTTTTTTTTTTTTTTTGAGAGAGAGAGAGAGAATTTTTTTTTTAATATTTATTTTTTTACTATTTGGCGGTCACAACATCTTTGTATGTGGTGCTGAGGATCGAACCCAGCCACATGCATGCCAGGCGAGCGCGCTACCGCGTGAGCCGCATCCCCAGCCCAGTTTGAATTGTTTTTGAGCTATGTGGATTCTCTTATGAGAATTTTTTTTTTTTTAAATGAAAATGTTGATTTGGGTTCATTGGCTTTCTTGCTGGCAGAGTCCTGAGATAGCAGTAAGGCATCACATGGTGAGAAATGGGGGTATGTCTTTTGTCCTGATTTATGATGACTCCTGGATTTGGGTCAATCTAGCAAATCAAAATAAAAAGCAGCTTGGTTTTTTATTTGGATTAAGGTCAAGAGTACATTTGAAAAATCAGAACCCAGGGCTGGGGATGTGGCTCAAGTGGTAGCGTGCTCGGCTGGCATGCGTGCGGCCCGGGTTCGATCCTCAGCACCACATACCAACAAAGATGTTGTGCCCGCCGGAAACTAAAAAATAAATATTAAAAATTCTCTCTCTCTCCCCCCTCTCTCACTCTCTCTTTTAAAAAAAAAAAAAATCAGAACCCAAGCCACAAATTTCCTAATGAAATAGGAATTCAGTTGCATTTGCTCTCAGTTTGTGTCACACTGTTAGAAATTCTGAGGATGGCTACAAAGAAACTATCAGATTCTGATGGTTGTGGTTACGTGTATAGAGTAGAGCTGGAAGTATTTTCAAAATTTTTGATGAAGACAGCTAGGCTCTTTTTCTTTTCAGGTAGAGAACAGAAATATGAAGATGGAATTGCCTTGCTGAGGAATGCACTGGCTAATCAGAGTGACTGTGTCCTGCATCGGATCCTAGGAGATTTCCTTGTAGCTGTCAATGAGTATCAGGAAGCAATGGACCAGTACAGTATAGCGCTCAGGTAGGCACTCAGCCTCTGGCAGGGCAGGTAACGAAAAGGGGAGGAAAGGCAGGGAACTGTGTAGCTGGAGTTCTAGAAAGACAAACACACTGCCCACAGTGGAAAGCAGAATAATAATTGTAATGGCAGAAGAGTTAAATTTGTGAATTCAACCCTTGTGAAAAACTTTTCTTAAAGTATATTAACAACATTAAAGAGCCCATACCACTGTGGCATCTGTTCTTATACCTAGAATATATTTTATATTCTGCATTTTCCAATCAAAGTACTTTCCCATGTTCCTACCTGCTTTAATAGTCAAGAACTTGAATGCTTCTTCACCACTGTCATCTTGGGTAAGTAACTAACATGTCCTTTTCTCTACCTTATTGGGTATTAAATGAGGATTAAATGATTATTCCAGGTAAAGCTCTTGGCACTGTGCCTGGCACATAGTAAATAATAAATAAATAGTGGTCACTGATGTGATTTCTTTGAGGGAGAAATCACTGATGTGATTTATTTGAGGGAGTCTGTGTGTCCGCAGGGTCACAGTGAGGGAATGTCTGTAATTGAGTCTGGTCACATACATCCATTCCCTCATGCAGAGGACAGTTGAACAGCACTTGTGTGCCTGGCCAGTGACCACTGGGATTGCTTAATTCCGGACTCTCTCCTCATGTGCACACTGGTGATATCACCACTCATGCTTTCCTAGCAGTCTATAGAAGGTTGGGTGGAGGCCAGAGGGCAGGAGCATTGAAGGTTTCAGAGAAGAGATGTTAGAAATCAGCCTGCATTTATGTAAATAGAAATGGGATTCCAACATTTGTTTTAGCTGCTTTTTGGAAGCTTAAAAGCAAATGAAAAAAAAAAAAACAACAAAGCCAGACTTTGATTAGAGGTGAATTGGCTAGGCTGGTGATGGTTACAAAGTCAAGAGGAAACATTCCCTAGAAGTCAAATAAATGAATGTTCTAGAGGCTTTGCACTTTGGGGGTTTGGCACATGTAAATTCTTGGCTGCGATATGCACATGCCTGGGTAGAGGTAGCCTTGGTCCTGAGGTCTAATCTTAGGAGCTTGACATCTATTCATGGCGTGCCACAGTGTTTTTACTTGACAACTGCAATGCTGATATGTCACTGTGTCATAAGAGAACAGATCAGTTGTTCTCACAGAAGAATAACTCTGTAACCCTGCAACTCAAAAACCCCCTACTTTTAAGAAATTACATTGAGATTTTCTGTTAATGTTTGCCATTTTTTCATTGCTGTGTCTGATAGCCTCCTCTGGCAGAATGCTAGGGGGATAGGTATGAAAAAGTTTAAGAAACTTGTGGAGAAAAAAAAAATCAAAATCTTTTGAGAATTCCAAAAATTAGGAAAAGATTTTCCCTTTTTTCACTTCTGGTTTTGGAAGCCAGCCTCAGGACCCCGGGTTGTTGGGAGGGAGACATCAGGTTCTGGCAGTTGTTCTGCTCATTTCACCTCCCAGCCAGCTAGGTGACGAGTCATTCTGCTGAAAGAAGGCAGAGATTCAGGCCTCTCCTTTGTTTTGTTGTCCCCTAGTTTGGACCCCAATGACCAGAAGTCTCTAGAGGGAATGCAGAAGATGGAGAAGGAGGAGAGTCCCACAGATGCAACTCAGGAGGAAGATGTGGATGACATGGAAGGAAGTGGGGAAGAGGGGGACCTAGAGGGCAGCGACAGTGAGGCAGCCCAGTGGGCCGACCAGGAGCAGTGGTTCGGCATGCAGTGAGGGGCACCGGCTGCCCGCCTGGACCGAAGGAGCTGGAGGAGCTGCTTCCAAGAAAACAGTGACTGTGTGTGCCTGCAGCTGGGCCTTCTGCCCCTCGCTCCCGAGTTCTAGTCGGGACTTTGTTTAACAGTGGGGCTGGCCAGTCTTCCATGTGTCTCCATCCTCCCCTGCTCTACCAGGAAGGATAAAGGCGTGCTCATGCTGGGGCTTTGGTCAGAGCACTTTTGATGTTTCATTGCTGAATCCAGAAGCTGGAATAATGGAGCATTTTGTCTTTGACATGGATGGGTTTGAAGGAGTGACCCACCCTCTGAGAGGAAGAGTGTCATCTCCCAAGGACAGTAGCATGGTCTGGCCTTATCAGAGAGAGTTTCCTGGTCCCAGAAGTCATTGTCCTGTGCTGCCCATGCTCCCCTGGTGACTTGCTTCCTTCTGCAGTGGTGGTGATGCCTTTAGCTGGCAGTTGTTTTGCAGAACAACTTTCCTATTTGCTGAGCTGGCACCTTGCCTTGGTCTGAAAAGCAGGTGTGAAAAGAGCATGACCAGGGTGCACCCGGGCAGTGGAGTAATAAAACTGGTTCATACAGTCATGGTGTGGGGTGGTTGGAATGGAAGCCTTTTTACAGGCTCTTAACTCTTTTGGCCTCTTGATCAGAATTTACTAATCCAGAATCATTTGCCATAAATAGATTCCCTTTCTCCCCTAGTATTGGGAACCAGGAGGGCTGAAACCTCAGTGAGCTGAGGTTCATCTGTTTGCATTTTTGGTTTCTAAGTTTCCCTGGGCCTGAGAGTCTTCAGCCAAACTTCACATGGTCAGTCTGTCTCCTTCACTTGGGTCCCCAGGAGGTATCAGACCCCTAGTCCCAAATTCTCGTTAAAACAAAATTAGGCCAGGTGCAGTGGCGCATATCTGTAATCCCAATGGCTCAGGAGACTAAGACAGGAGGATCGCAAATTCAAATCCAGCCTTAGCAACAGTAAGGCACTGTCTCTAAATAAAATACAAAATAGGACTGGGCATGTGGCTCAGTGTCTGAGAGCCCCTAAGTTCAATCCTTGGTACCAAAAAAAAAAAATTAGGCTGGGCATGGTGGTACATGCCTCTAATTCCAGACACTTGGTAAGCTGAGGCAGGAGGATTTCAAGTTCAAGGCAAGCCTGGGCAACTTAGAATCTGTCTCAAACATTTTTTTAAAAGTGCCTCAGTGGCAGAGAGTACCTAGGTTCAGTCTCCAGTACTGAAAGAAAGTAACCTATCTAAAGTGTTTTTAAATGCGAATTTGGATTTTTTTTTTTTTAAACTGGGGATTAAACCCATGGGTACTCTACCAAGCTATATCCCCCCTTTTTTTTGGGCTGGGTTTTGCTAAGTTGCTGAATGTTCTAAATTGCTGAGGTTGACCTCAAATTTGCAAATCCTGCCTCAGCCTCTCTAATTGCTGGCATTACAAGCTTTTGTCACCACACCTGGCTAAAATGTGAATTTGATGTAAGTGAAAAGTTTAAAATGGGCACAGTAACTGTGAAAGTGGCCTTTGTTGGGAGGCTCAAGATCTGTGCTGGGCCGCTCGACCTGAGCCATTTCTGATGAGCCCGGTGGGCAGCTGCGAAGCCTGGGTGCTCTGTCAGCCCTGTGACCAGTCAGGGCTTTGAGAGAAACAGTGAAACCTCTGCCATTGCAGTCGGAGGAAGCCAGGCTCCGCCTGCAGTCCTGTTTCTGATGGTCAGGCGAGGTTCCTGTGTGCACAGGATGTGCCTTGGGGCCTGGGCCCCTTTCCTCGGCAGGTCCCTCAGCTCTGCCAGGAGCCTCTGGGTCCCTGTGACCTGACGTCTGCAGGCCTCCATCCTGGCAGCACCACAGCTGGCTTCCTCATGGCTCGGCAGCTCCAGCACTGGCTCGTGACTTGGGGTAGGGGGTGGCAGCTGTGGCCGCGGGGCTAAGAACACACTCCAGGTCCAAATCAAAGATTGGGATGGGGTGGGCACTGCATTGCATGACTGTGATCTTGAGAAACAGGCAGGATAATCCCAAGGTCAAGGTCAGCCTGGGCCACTTAGTAAGACCCTGTCTCAAAAAGATTTAGGGGTCTAGCTCAGTGATAGAGCACCCCTGGATTCATTCCCCATTACAGAGTGGGGGTATGGGGGTGGGGATTGAGCTTGGCCCTGTAACTACCAACTTTCTCACAAAAAACTTCAAGGGCTGGAAGCCCAGCTCTGTGGCTGTCACATTGAGCCACTTCCTGGGAGACAAAGCAGTCTAAGGAGGGACTACCCCACAATGCCATGGTCACCACAGGAATCTTGAGATAGTTTCGTGCACCAGCATGAGGTGTCTTTGTGTCCTGTCATCTCCCTTCCTTTCAGATTGCTCCAAGGCCGTGCTGGGTTCCAGGAGCTCTGGCCACTGGGCCACCAGGCATTTAGCTGTGCAGCCTGAGCTTCCTTGTTTGTTCCCTGGCTGAGGCTTCAGTGAACTCTGGAGATGTTGAGCATGGCGCCCTCAGCTCCATCAGGTGGGATCCCCTGACCCCAGGTCCCTGGTAATAGCTTGGTGGTGTCTGAAGCGCATCTGCTCTTCCTTCTGAAGGTCTCCACTAAGCACAAAGGCAGGCCAAGAACATTCCCTGCCCTTCACAGTCCTCTCCACTTCTGAACCCTGCTGGGCGCCAACGACCTGGCAGGTTTGGTCCCTACACAGGGCCGATGGGGAACCAGCCACATTCCTGCTTCTAAATTCTCAAAGAATGAGGACAATTTCTGCCCAAACCTATAACCCTCAAAGCACACATGTCAGTGATGCAGATTGTCATCCAGCACCAGACCTTGGTTTAAACCCAGGGGTAGGCCTGGGGTCCCGAGCCTGCATCATCCATTACTTCCCAGCCTGGCCTCCTGGTCTCTACAGGGCTTCCCTGGACCAAATACTGAGACACCTGGGGAAGGGGAGTTCCAGGGTCCCAGGAGCCACACCTGGGGCTCTGCCCTGCAGCCTATGGTGGGAGGAGTTGGCTTCCATGGGCCTCACCTGTGGCTTCCCAGCCTGCACTGGCTCACCTGGGGCAGGCCCAGGCCTGGTGGAGCTACCCCCAGAGCTTGCTGCAAACTGCCGTGGTCAGCTTTCTGGAGCCTCTGCTCAGGCTTGTGCGCAGGAGCTGCGTTGTTCACTGACCACAGGCAGAAGCTGGACTGGACATGCACCTCGCTGCGGCCTCTGTGAAGGTGGTAGCCACAGGTCACCGGGAGCGCCTGGCACTGTGAACGCTGTTGAGGTAAGTGCCTGACTCAGGTTTTCCACTTCCCAAGGAGCCTCCCTGCCCCAGGGCAGCAGGTGGGGCCTGAACTGCCACCTCCCCTCTTGGGGGACCTAGATGTCTCCAGGCCTGGGCAAGCTCCATAGACCTGCCCTGGGCTCACCTGGGCCTCACCAGCCAGCATGTGGGGTTTTTCCAGATTGTGAAGGAGGTGCTAATCTTTGGCAGAGCAGAACATGTCACTGTCACCAACCACACAGCACCAACTAAGCCAAGAATAAGCCGAAGCCTGCAAGTCTGGTCCCCCAGCAGCCATGGAAAGAAAACACAAGGGCCGAGTTCAGCGATTGAGCATGTACTCAGCATGCGTGAGGCCCTGGGTGGTTCCTCAGCACAGGGAGAGAAAATTTAAAAATAGAATACATTATAACTGAGCATTGCTGGTGAGAACTTGAGATGGTGTGACCCCTGTGGAAATGAGCCTGATGAGCCATATAAACAGTATGACCATCTGATTCAACTGTCCCACTTCTGAGTAAACACCCAAAAGAATGGAAGCAAGGACTTGAGCAGATGCTTGTCCAGCTGTGCTCATAGCAGCAGTGTTTACAGTATCCCAAAGGTACAAGCCACCAAGTATCTACGTATGAGTGCATATGGGTAAGCAGAGTATGGCTGGGCCAGACAGTGGAATAGTATTCAGCTTTAAAAGGGAGGAAATTGGCTGGGTGGGGTGGTGCTCACCTGTAATCCCAGTGACTTGTGAGTCTGAAGCAGGAGGATTGCAAGTTTGAGGACAGCCTCAAAATTTAGCGAGATCCTGTCTCAATATAAATAAAAAGTTAAAAGCCGATGGTTCAATACCCAGTACTGGGGGCGGAAAAAAAGGGAAATTGGAAATTTTGACACAGCTACAACATAGATGTACTTTGAGGAATTTTTCTTTTTATTAAAATATTTTATTTGTTATTGATGGACCTTTATTTGTCTGTTTTTTTATATGTGGTGCTGAGAATCGAACCCAGTGCCTCACACATGCTAGGCAAGTGTTCTGCCACTGAGCCACAATCCCAGCCCTTTTTCTTTTTTCTTTCTTTCTTCTTTTTTTTTTTTTTGAGAGAAGGGGGAAGAGAGAATTTTTAAATATTTATTTTAGTTTTCGGTGGACACAATATCTTTATTTTATTTTTATGTGGTGCTGAGGATTGAGCCCAGCACCCCAAACATGCCAGGCGAGTGCGCTACTGCTTGAGCCACATCCCCAGCCCCATTGAGGAATTTTTCTAAATGAAAGAAGCCAGACACAGGATAAATGACATGATTCCACTTACATGAGTCCAATTCTTAGGATGACCATCTGATCCAACTGTCCCACTTCTGAGGTTACTGGGGCTGGAGGAGGAGGGGAACCTGTGAAGTTCAGCTTGGGTAGTGCCAGGCTGGGGGTGGCTGGTCCTTGACCATGTGAAGGTAGTTACTTCTATGCCCTGAGTAGCTCTCTGGCCCCGAGTAGCTCTCTGAAGAAATGGGAACGATGGTGAATTTTTTGTCACAGTTTATCACTAAAAAAAGTGAAGAAATGGCTACAATCTCACCACCCAGATCACCTGCTAACACATCCTAATTTTTGTGAAATGCAGCATGTCTGTGTCATATGTTCTATAAAAACCCACCTGGTCACAAAGACGCAGAGACTGGTGAGAGTCACAGGAACACGTGCTTCCGGTGTCCTCCCTGGAGTGGGCCGGGCTCTGGCTTCTCTGGGAAAACAGCCCTGTGCTCTTGCCCCGCTGGTCGCATGGCAGCTTTCTGCGTGAGGCCAGCGTGCCCTTCCTTCATATGTTTGTTGTGACCGTGCTGCGGGGTCCCATCTGTGAGTGGGATCATTGCTGTACCCCCTCTGCTACTGTCAGACGCTCATTTCCAGTCTGGCTTGTGATTGTCATGGGCTGTGCTGTTAGGGACATGTTTTGGCATGGCTTTCCCAGGCTATGCAGAGGTCACGTTCCTTGCTAGGACATTCCTGTCTTGTGTGTGGGAGGTGCTTGTGGGTGCTGGTCACACCACTCTACAGTGACAGGTGTGAGCGACGCCCCCAGGTGTGCTCCAGCTCTGAGCTGGTCTCCTGAGCTGCACTGGGGCCATGCCCCACCCTTTTGCCTAATTGTCACCCTCTGCCTCAGCTGGAGCGCAGTGGCCCTTCACACAGTGAACAAGCTGAGGGACCACGGGCTGTTTTCATTTGTCCGGGGTCTCTGGCCCCGAGCTGTTAGGGTTTGGATATGAGATGTTCCCCCAGAAACTCACGAATTCACTGGGCTACGCAGCCACGTCCAGAGGTGAGAAGGTTAGATCGTGAGAGTTGGGACCTGTCAGTGGGTTGGTCACTTGATGGATTAACACGGGGCCATGGCTGTGGGCGTTGGGGTGGCCCTGGAGCTCTTGTCCCCGGCTGCTCTGCTCTCCCTCCGTCTCCCCGCCCCGGCTGCCCCTTTCTGCCGCGATGTTCTGCCTCCCTTGGGCCCAAGCCATGGAGGTGGCTGAGGATGAAGGGGACCTCTGCTTTCCAACAGCCACTTCTAAATGGCTCTTCTCAGGATTGTGGTCATAGTGACAGTGTCAGGCTGGCCGTGCTCTCTGTCTCGGAGCCCAGGGTCCACTCTGCGCTGGGCCCTTCCTCGGCTTCCGGGCTCCAGGGCCGCCGGGCGTCTGGCTTGGGTGGTGCTGGGGCCTGTTTAGAGCCGGCCTCCCTGTGCTCCCGCCATTCTCCTTCTTTGGGCAAATTCCCATCAGGATTCAGAGGGCAGGAGGGCCCTTCCTGGGCCTTCCAGGGCCTTCCAGGGCAGGCGGCTGTCCTCGCGAGCCCTGACTCGGCCAGGCCCCCACTGCGCCAGCCTCCCCTCGGCTGTCCGCCAGGGGACCAGACCTTTCCGCGGGCTTGGGCGAAGCCCCACCTCGGGGAGTGAAGCCCTCCAAGGCCTGGGCGCTTTGGGTTCAGGAGTTATTCTCAGGACTGGGCTGGAGGCTGTGCTGGGGGCCAGGGTGGTCGCAGTGGTCTTCCCCCGCCCTGCTGTCTGCCAGGAGGGAGAGACAGCCTCGGGACCTCACTGGACAGCTCCTGGGCCTCCCTGTCCCTTGTCCCACCGGCCATTGCACTTTTGCTTTGCTGAGTGCCTGGGCCACATCAGTGGCTGTCCTCTCCTCGCACCCCTGTGTTCGGTACTGATTGCTCAGGGGCTTCTTGGAGGATTGTCAGCTGTTTTCCTGGTTGCCATGCAGGGTCGTGTTGGGGAGGCGGCTACAGCGGGGCTGTGCTCTTCAGACCACAGGTGTCTGCTCAGAGGACGACTAGGTGCTGCCCGCCTGTCTCCACCTTGAAGCCGCTTCTCCTCGTCCACACTGCATGTGCTTTTTGGGAGGAAGACACTGCACAGCGGTAAGGGCAGGTTAGCATCTCCTTGAGGGCGGTGGGAGGGACCCACCTCGGTGGCTCCCTCTGCGTTCCCCCAGGGCGCTTGCAGTCAAGGCTGAGCTCCAAAGGGCTTTCTTTTGCGGCCAGGTGGTTCCACCTTTGGCTCTCAGGAGCTTTCTTGGTTGGCTCCGGTATTTTGTGTCCCCCCCCTCCCCAGTCCTGGGGATTGAATTTGGGTGCTTCACTACTTATCCATTTTATTTTTAGAAAGGATCTAAGTTGCTGAGGCTGGCATCAAACTTGCCATCCTTCTGCCTCAGCCTCCCCAGTAACTGGGATTGCAGGTGTGGCCCCTGCAGAGAGCTGACCCACTGTCATGGAGAGCTGTTCACTCTACCTCTCCTGCTGTTGCTGATCTCCCTCTGCAAATGCTGTGTGGCCCATGAGTCCATGCCTAATACCTGGCTATTCTCTACAGTGGCTGTCACTGTTCACAATCCCAGCAGCCACCTCAGGATGCTGTATGCACCATGGCCTTGGTACTAGCAGACCTGAATTTTTCAGTCGATGGGCAGCTATCTTGTGACTTTTGACTGTGGAGTAGAACATCATTCCACACCTATAAGCTAGCCAAGTTTTCCCTTAAGCCATTAACTACTTCTCTTTTGAGGGTGTAGTCTTGTCTTATATGCACCATTACCTTTCCCACTCACACTGACTTAACAACAGGACCCTTGGTTGCTTTTTTCCATTTTTGAGACATTTATCTCTAGAACAGTGGTTGGACACTTCCAAATGTTTCAGTGTTTTTCATTTTAAAATGTGGTGCTAGGGATCGAACCCAGTGCCTCATACATGCCAGGCAAGCACTTTACCACTGAGTCCAACCCCAGCCCCAGGTTAGAATGAATGCCAAATTTTATCAAATGTTTTCCTTTATCAGTATTTTTAATTTATGTCCTTTTGCGGGGCAGGGGCGGGAGTACTAGGGATTTAACCCAGGGCTTCACATATGCTGGGCAAGTTCTCTATCACTGAACTATGCCCCCAATCCTTTTTGAGACAGGGTTTCCCTGTACACAGGCTGGCCTCAAAACTTGAGATTCTTCGGCTTCAGCCTCCTGAATAGCTGGGGTTACAGATGTGCACCGCCATGCCTGGTCCTACTATTTCCAAATGATAAAAGGGAATTAGAGCCCTACCCCAAACCCACCCCTGGCATATAAGCACTAATTATTTTATTTTTTTGTGGTGCTGGAGATTGAACCCAGGGCCTTCTGCATGCAAGGCAAGCACTCTACTAATACCCTTGGCTCCAACTAATTATTAAATTGATGAATTCCAATAGCATTTCTGGTCATGTCAACAGGAGGTAATGTGACATCTCACATTTTGCATTTGGTGGTTCCAGTCTGCAGATTTTTCCAGGTGGCTGTATTTAAAGTTGGGTCTTAGTTCTTTCTTCTTGGTACTAGGGATTGAACCCATGGGCACTTTACACTGAGCCACATCCCCAGCCCTTTTTGAGACAGGGTCTCTCACTAAGTCGTTTAGGGTCTCACTAAATTGCCGAGGCTCACCTTGAACTTGTGATCCTCCTGCCCGAGTCTTCCCAGTTGCTGGGATTACAGGTGCGTACCATCGTGCCTGGCTCAGCTTTCACACTAGGGGTTTAACCCAGGGCTTTAACATACAGTTGGAATAAACTGAGACTGAGCATTTTATTAAGATAAATGCATCACAATATTTGTATTGCACCAACACCTGTCTATTGCTTCTGATTTCATTAAATAAGTTACATTTAAGTGTGAAACAGCTTTCTGCACATTGAAAAATAACTGAAGTGAGGCCTGTTTCTGTGAGGCACACTTGGTTTTCAGGCCCTTGTAGAGCAAGAGCCAGAGCAGGCCTCCCTCTTACAGAAATACTTCATACACATGGACCTTCTGCTCTGCTAGCCTGCCCACAAAGCCAAGTCCAGGTAGTTCCGGCCTCAGTGTCCACACAAGGCCTGGATGCCCGTCTCCACCCTCCTACAGAACACCAATATCACACTGAGAATTTAATGTAGAATAGATTTATTTACCTGAAACCATGTCTGTGCAACGCTTGTTACAGCACAGAGTGAAGCAAACTGATCTCTATTTACAGTCTAGTCAAACATGCGTTGGGATAAACTGACGCTTAGCATTTTATTAAGGTAAATGCATCACAATTTTTGTATTGCACCAACATCTGCCTACTGCTTCTGATTTCATTAAATAAGTTACATTTAATACAGTGTGAAACAGCTTTCTGCACACTCAAAAATAACTGAAGTTATGAACTGAAGGCCTACATTTTAACCATTCTATATAGTGTTTTTTAATGAATTTATAAATAAGCAAACTGTACAGGGCCAATTAAAAAGTAGCATTTTCAAGGTCACTGTAGAGAAATCTGGCTACTTACAACTGAAGGCATGCATCATAATTTAATATTGTACATTTATATAAGCTGTGACATTTTGCACAGAGAAATGTGGAGACTTGGCTGATTGCTTCTAAGTTGTTAGATAAGGTTTTCAGAACCTCACTGTTCTTGCAGCAAAGAAACCAAACTTCTCTGAAGAGGCTTTCTGATTAGGCAAAATTGTACATTTACATTATTTTGATTTAAAAGCTAAAAACCCCACTGGTAATACACATTTCCTCCACATCACACACGAGTTGGGAACTTTTTCTACTTTTCTTTTTCCCCAACATCAATCATGCAGAGGGCTGGTAGATGTGTTGCTAAAGACGCACATGCACGCAACCGAACACCCTTACATTTCTGCAAAATGGTTTAGGAAGCGGTTACTCCAGTATTGCTGAAAAGGAAAGAGAGAGGAAATCAGCTTCATGAAACATGAGGAGGAAATGTTAGAACAACTACCTGAGAGACCTATAGCGACAACCTTATCTCCAGTATTTCAAGAACAGCTTTTCTGATTAACTCTTCCCAAGGCACTGCCCACACTGGGTCACATCTCAATGACAGTGCCCTTGTGTCATCTGCCTACACAGCAAAGGACATCTGACTCAGAATGAATCCTATGAGGCAGAAACTTAAACCATTTCAGGCGTGAAAGCAGTGAGACAGGCCAGAGGAAGGTCTTGGTCAGCCATGCAGAGGTGAGGCAGATGGAGGGGGTGAGCCATGCGACAGCAGCTTGAGACCTTCCCACCCCGCCCCCCTTCCTCTCTTCCTCCCAAGGGTGGCCAGAGCTGGGGCCCAGCTCTGCCAGTGCTGAAATACGCTGTTGTGCCTTGGCTGCTTATCACCAGTCCCTCGGTAAAGTCCCCACACTTCCCTCCTTGTGGTCTTCATTCAGGGTGTGTTGGTATTGACAAGATCTGGGTGACCATGATTTCTGTGCCTGGGCTATGGGCAGACACTCCTGAGGTCTGGCCACCTCCTTCAGCCACTGAAGAGGCTGCTCAGGTTCCCCTGGCTCTCGACAGTTTCCTCTGGAATGGCCTGCCTCCATCTTTGAGAATGAGCAGCTGGACTGGCACCCGTTGAGGGCACCTGTAAGATGCTCATCTTTCGGGAACAGGGCCAGCAGCCCACTGGTGCTCCAAAAAGAATGTAGAGTCAGGTTTTGGGCAAGAGCTGACCCCAGGAACACGGGAGCTTAAAAGGACACTGCTGTCCACTTACTACTTTCCCTTGTGAGGGTGCTGGGTGAAGACAGGACAGGACAGGGCAGGGCACCAGCTGAGGCCTAAGGAGGGCATGTGCCCGTGGTTATGGTGATGCCCTGGTCTTTTTAGTTCATCTGAGAGCCAGGAGGTGCTTGAAGCTGAAACCACAAGGCACGGCTGGCCCAGAGAAGCCTGGGGTATCTGTGGCTCCTATGGTAGCCCATACCACTCAACTTGTTTGGGTCAAGTCTCCTAAATCAAGGAAAAGTCGACTATTTGGTTGTTTGGTTTCCACTGCACAGCGCACCACCCGGCAAACTCTGTGATGTCCTATTTGGATTTGCAGGTCAGACGCCATCCTCCCACTTGATTTACTTGGAATCCTTTGTCATTCATAATGTCCAAAATGGCAAAACTTTCCCAACATTCTCTGGTGGGCAAATCTGCCTTGGCTCCTGAGAGTCACAGCTCCCTGTAAGCAGCTCTGAAAGCCTCTGGTGTGCCTGATGGGGACGGTGCTTTTAGAATGTCCACACAGGTGGGCCTCTGAACTCGGCACCTTCTGCTCGACACCCACACATTCTCCCAACTCCATCTGCATCACCTCTGGCCATGTCAGTGACCAGAAGCCGAGGACCTTCTTGAGAGGAGTCAGGGGTCTCACAGGAAGGGGAAGCTGCCACAGGCCTCCTCACTCTGGCTAATGGTCAGGCCTGCCGGACTAAGCAGAGCCGGGCCTGCAACTGCATGAACACACCCTTGGAGCTAAGACAAGCTTAGCCACAAAGGATGTGACCCAGATAGGCAAGAGAAGGTGGCCTACTTAAGACAGACCTACTGACGCCCTGTTCACTCTGTCAGTCGCCATGCTGCCAGCGTCTGCTTTCAACGAACAAGGAGCGCGTTCGGGGGTGACTTCCTGCAGCTGATAAAGACCCAAAGCCCCCTCACATCTTTTTAGTTAAAATTTTAATTTCTAGATATAGGAGATTAGACCCAGTCACTCTACCACTGGGCCACATCCCCAGTCCTGTTTTATTTTGAGACAGGTTTTCACCAAGTTGCTGAGGCTGGCCTGGAACTTGTGATCCTCCTGCCTCCACCTCTTAAGCAGCCAGGATCACAAGTGTGTGCCACTGTGCCTGGCTCATCACACCCCATTCTGGCTGATGCAGGCCCTCCCTGCATCTTACGGGAGCCCTGATCTAAGCAGCATGTGGCATTCATGTCACCTCTGTAGTCAGCTGGTACTGCACCTAAGTCTCCTGTGCCTCCGGCAGCTCCCGTACCCACCAGGTGGGAGCTGCCATGCAGCACACTATTGAGGACTACCTCAATAGTAGTTTGGTGGCAGTCAGTCACCTTTAGGCTAAAGCATCCAAGTTCCAGAAAAGAAAATACTCACGTTAGTTGATGGATGTTGGAAGGCATTGGAGGAAAACATCACAGTTAGGACTGTTAATGACTCATACACTGTTGGTCAGACTGATCTCGAACATGCTCAAACATTGGTCAGAGTAATGGTGGTGATTAGTGCCACATTCAAATAAAAATAGTTCTATACAATATGTTCATTTGGTCATGTGCTATTTACAGATTTTACAAAACACACACACACATACACACACACGCGCGCGCACACACTTGCCCTACGTTCCTTAAATGAGTCCAGCAGAGACTTGCATAAAATGTATATTAGATGACAACCTGTGCCTATACATCAAAAAATAAATTCCCCAACTACCTATGCAGCAGAACAGGACCCCACTTTCCCTCAAGCATGCTAAACCGAGGTTCTGTGCTAAGAACTTCAGAGGAAGGTAGATTATCAGATAGTTCGAGGGGAACAATTTAAGAGTTAAGAACAAGACAGTTATTTTCTGTCCATTTAAAATGTTTTATTTTTCTCTTTTGAACTAGATTGTGAAGTGCCATTGAGATCTAGGCAATGTTGGCAAAACAATGTCCATTACAATAAAATACATTAGACATTTAAATAAATAACTTTAAAAACTATGTGAAGGGACATAAACCCAGTTGATTGAATCTGGAACAATGTTTTCTGCACAAGCGAGACAGGCATACCTCTCATGAAGACTGATGTAAACAGAACCATCAAGACCCTACAGAAGAAGCCGAGCGGGACAGGGGATGGGGCAGGGTGGGGGTGAATGGAGAGGGTGCGGGAAGTGGCAAACCAAAAAATACTGACTGAGGTAGCAGGACTCTGCTCAGTGCAGAAAAATTGGCTTATGAATAAAAATTAGACTGTGATATCAAATTAAACCCAGGTAATCATGCAAAAAACACAACACATGCTATTTAGTTGGTTTTTTTTTTTTTTTAAAAACACATTCATTTCCTAAAGTCTGCTGCCAATTAATTTGCTGACAATGTCTGCTGGCTCAACTATTTTTATACAAGGATGAGTATTAAACAGAACACTGTACATGCTTTTTCATCTACAAAAAAATATTTGCATAAAATAGTGTTAGTTCTCTGTACATGTCAATGGACACTTTAATTATGTGTATAAAAAAAGGAAAATCTTGCCCCACTGGAGTCAGAAAAAGCAAAACAAAAATCTAGAGTATGAAACCTCCTTCACCAGCCAATATGTTCATGTGAAAATTCAGCAGAAATAGACAGTTGCTTTAAACAATAAAAAATTGATTAAGTTAAACATCTTCTGTATGTAGAGCTGTCAGTCAAGACCAGAACATATCACTAAAGTTAGTGTCTGTGCTATAGACCCAGACCACCAGGGGCATTATGAGCAGCACGAACGGCCAGGAAATCCCATCGGTGCATGCCGAGAACGAGCAGGATTTGGTGGTAGGTTGCACACACTCTTTACCAGGTTCCAGGTAGTTTCGGGCCACAAACTTGAGTGTCTCATCCATGAGAATCACAGGCAAGGAGATTTTCAGCACCATCAGCCACTGGGTGAGATTCAGCGGTGTGATCTGGAAGATAAGCTGAAACGAAGCCATCTCGTCAAACTTCAAACTTGCCAGACAGGTGGTGCCAGCCACCAGCCTGGGGTCCCACAGTCACTTACTGGCAAGGGTTCCACATAGAGGATCAGGAAGTGGAGTGACATAGACAGGCAGATGGAGCCCACAAGCCAGATGTTCTCCCAAGGGGGCATCCTCAGCAAGGACTGGTTTTCAGATAAACTAAAGAATGAGAACAGGGAGGTGAACTCACCAAAGAGGCAAAGGTGTGTGTCAGTGGCAGCCAGACACCACACCCAACTACACTTCAGTAAGGTGGATACTACCTTGGTGTCAGCCCCTGACCTGATTCTAGGGACAAGTTTCCATGTGGTAAAGTCAAGGAAGACAACATTCAGATATAGGACAAACTGCCAATTTTATACCTAGGCTTCAGGACAGCAGATCCTATCTCTGCAGGCTCACAGCCGTCTTTCACTGCCCTGGACTCTTGGGCTATTTAGAAATTTCCATTTTTGGCACTGGCTAATTGGATGATACCATTTGCCTTAATGCTGAAGAGCGAGCGCTCCCCCCGTGGGTGCTGGCATTCATGTCCTGATGCTATTTCTGGCCTCCTGTTTCTTTTAAAGAAGAGCTCTGAAACACGTGGCTGAGCACTCCCACTACTTCCTGGAGGTGACAACAGCTTAGGCTTTTAAAACCAGTGCTGCTTGTTCTCTTCTCTGTGGGAAGGGAGAACTTTCCTATGACCCTCCATCGACCATGACAGAAGCCCTAGTGCTCTGGTGGTCAGAGCTCTCACTTCTGCTACTACAAATACTAACCTGTTGAGAGCATTACACATCTCTATGGTTACTAGAACAGACAGCGCCATTGTCATTGGGTACGGGGACTCAAAGATTGCACAATCCACTCCTTCAAAGTCTGGGTTGTCCTCCTTACACTGGAGGAAATGACTCTGCAAAAATCCAATCAAATTCCAATCAGCTGGGCAGGGGATGTAGCTCAGTTGGTAAGTGTTTGCCTCGCATGCCAAGGCCCTGGGTTTGATCCCCAGCACACATCACCCACCCCCACCCCCCACAAAATCCAGCAGCCAAATCTCTCTAAATAAAGTCCAGGTACCAATCCCACGCCAAGGCCAGAACAGCCAAGGGGTTCACCCATCTCCCAGAGAAGCCCTGGTCCCTCAGAATCATCTCAAATATAAACGCTTGCTTTTGAGCCTTAGGATGATTCAACACACACGCAAATCAGAGAAAGACCAAGGGCCCACACCGCCTCACATGGTAGGTACACAAAGAAAGGGGACCAAATACCAGCTGGTAGAAGGACACTCTTGGACCACCATCAGCAGCGATGAACCACCAGGCAGCAGCACCCACGGTAGCAGCGCCGACGTAACCTGGGAACACACAGGATGCTGGTACCCAGGCCGCAGCCTGCTCTACTCGCTGCAGGTGATGCTGCGTGGGCCAATCCCCAAGAGAACGGCAGTCAAAGACATGGATACACGTGGATACTGAGCTCTTGCCGCTCCTCTAAACTGCTTGCAGCCAGCAGCCAGAGCAGCTGGACCACAGGGTTCAGGAAGGACATGGTGTTTACTGTACAGAAGAGCTACGCAATGTTCCCTCCAGAATATTTGGGGAAAGGTCCTCACTAAGCTCTCCAACCTCCACACTCAGTGCACCTTCTCAAGAGTGTGTGCTTTAATTTTTTTTTTTTAAAGACATTGTCTTAGAGTGAGAGGAGAGAGGAGAGAGAGAGAGAGAATTTCCAACATTTATTTTTTAGTTCTCGGCGGACACAACATCTTTGTTGGTATGTGGTGCTGAGGATCGAACCCGGGCCGCACGCATGCCAGGTGAGCGCGCTACCGCTTGAGCCACATCCCCAGCCCGAGTGTGTGCTTTAAGTCTGCAGGCACGTCGTCTACATAAAGCCACAGCTCTGGGGGACCAGGTCAAACTCTAACTTCTGGGCAATCTGATGCTGTGTAGTACATGACTTATTTGTCCCATTAAAGGCCTAGCAGAACCTTTCCACGGGAACTCTCTCAGAAGAGCAGACCCCAGCACACTCTGGGGCATTCTCTTGGTACCTCTGAATTCAGGGAGTTCATTTCAAGGAAGCAACAGAACAGACTTTAGGTGAACCTCATGGTAAGATCCACCAAAAATCACAAGTGCACATATGCATAACCCAAGAATCACATGGAGCACTAAGGCAGCTGGATACAAGAAAGATGCAGCTAGGCACAGTGGTGCACACCTGTAATCTCAGAGGCTCAGGAGGCTGAAGCAGGAGGATCATGAGTTCAAAGCCAGTATCAACAAAAAAGTGAGGCACTAACCAACTCAGTGATACCCTGTCTTTAAATTAAATAAAACTAGGGCTGAGGATGTGCTCTGTGTTTGAGTGTCCCTGTCTTTAAGTTCAATCCCTGAACTGCCCCCCCCAATAAAAAAAAAAAATGCAGGTGCTCCAGATGGGAAGAGGGCAAAGCAAAGTCCCCCATGCAGGCAAGTACAGCATACTGTCATTTTTATAAAGCAAAGGGGACTGCTCATCTGCTGGAGTCTATGGAAAAGAACACAGTCCGTGACAAACTGTTAAGGCTGGAAGAACTGAATGGCTGAGAATCCTTCCTCCTTAGGCCCATGTGCTTTTTGAATTTTGAATGTGTCATTAAAACTAAATACCTTGCTGTGAGGTTTTGTTTTTTGCTTTTTGGTACCAGGGATTGAACTCAGGGGCACTCGACCACTGAGCCACATCCCCAGCCCTTATCTTATTTAAAGTCAGGGTTTCACTGAGTTGCTTAGCGCCTCACTTTTGCTGAGGCTGGCTTTGAACTCAGGATCCTCCTGCCTCAGGCTCCTGAGTTGCGGGGATTACTGCACCTAGCTCCCGTGGGATCTTAAGGAAGTGGCCTCATTTTTCTGGGCCTTACTTTCCTAACCTATGACCTGGGGAAGAGGACGAAGCCCTGGTCAGGAACATGAGTTCTACAGAGAGATGTTATATACAATAGCCTTGCCTGCACCAGGAGTTGGTGATGCGTAGTCATCCCTTTTCTCTTTCTTATGGAAGTGGGAATTCAGTTTCATCCCTTGGTGCTAATTATCTACGAACTGAAAGAGGACACCCTTCATTTTTTGCTATCCTAATATGGAAATAGGAAACAGATGCTCTAAAGGGATAAATTTACAAAACATTGACCCATAAACATTTTGTTTAAAAATCAATATAAAAACTATACTCACAGCCAATAGCCAGGTAACGGAAAAACAGCCACCCACTGATAAGTGGCTCCTTTGGGTTCCGGGGTGGTTTATTCATGATGTCCAGGTCAGGAGGGTTGAACCCTAGTGCAGTAGCAGGCAAGCCATCGGTCACCAGGTTGACCCAGAGCAGTTGGACAGGAATTAAAGCCTCAGGAAACCCAAGGGCTGCTGTCAGGAAAATACTGTCCCCAAGAAAGAGAAGACAAAGACCTCAGTGACTTTGGGGAACTTTAAATAGCACCATCACCCCTCATCTCCTCCATGCAACCCACAATAGACAGCAACAAAGATCACCTGCAATAAACTTAGGCAATCACAGAACATCAATGACACCCCAATTTTGTATTAAAGGTAACTTTTAGAGAAAAAAGAACTTTATCTGGTTAAGGGGTCTGTGTCTCTTCCTCCTGCCCCCAATTCGGGCACAAAGACCAAAGCAGCCACCGTGCACAGAGCACGCTGGGAGAACTGCTCCTCATGAACTTTACAGTGGATAAAAGAACTCAGCAGTACTGTCGGGACCCACCAGACGACTTCCCCTACATTCGAGGAGATGAGGTAGCGAATGAACTGCTTCATGTTGTTGTAGATGGCCCGTCCCTCTTCCACAGCAGCGACGATGGTAGAGAAGTTGTCATCCGCCAGGACCATTTCAGAGGCAGTTTTAGCCACTGCAGTGCCAGAGCCCATGGCAATGCCAATCTCAGCTTTCTTTAGAGCAGGAGCATCATTCACACCATCGCCAGTCTGAAAGGGAAACCCATGGTTGGTTGGGACACCTGCTGTGTGACATTCATACCTCAGGGCAAAGGCTCACTGATCAGGTAAAAGGGACATCAGTGGGTCTCTAAGTGAAAAATTGTAGAATTCCTCTACATAAGTTGGTGTCGAAAACTTTACCAGAGACCTCACAGAGAAATGAAACAAAGGGAACTTGAAATTTATACCAAAACCAAAAATACAACTTATATGGTAGTCAAGATGAATCCACATGGGTAAAATTCAAGAAAAAGTGCAGATTTCTTATAAAATTCAAAGACATGCAAAAACACTGAATACTCTATAGATTAATATATAGATATAGATGTATATATATATATTTTCTCATTCCCATGTCTGCTTTTCATACTTTTACTAAATTCCAATTTCAAAATAGTAGTTACCTATTGGGAAGGGAAGAGATCATTTCAAAACCAAAATTACTGTTTTTAGAAAATGAAGTCATAAGTCTGACATAGTGGCAGAGGCCTATAATCTCAACTACTTGGGAGGCTTAAGGTTGGAGGATGGCAAGTTCCAGGCCAGCAAGGGATGGAGTGGTATGTCAGCAGCAGTGCATTTGCCTAGCATGTGTACGACGCTGGGTTCAATCCCCAGCATCTCAAAAACAAAACAAAATGGAAAGCATAGTCATTAGCAAAGCTAATTTACAGTGGGGTTATCCAATACTGGGTGACAGACCACTGGTCCATTATATCCCCCCAAAAACCATGTTTGAGTTGATAAGATGCATCTTTTTTTTGGTACTAGGGATTGAACCCAGAGACACCACTGAGCTATATTCCCAGCCCTTTCTATTTTGAGATAGGGTCTTATTAAGTTGCTTTGGGCCTCATTAAGTTGCTAGAGATTGGCCTTGAACTTGGATCCTCCTACGTCACTGGGATCACATGCACTATGCCATTACACCCAGCAAGATGCAAACACTGTGGACCCTTAACTAAGACAACGATATCACCAAACAGTCCCTCTGGTTTAAAAGGCCTTCCTGGGTCTTAAATACTCTAGGATTTTACAACTTGCCAACTACTGATGAACTGCTAGCATTTCAGAGAAATTGCCTGGAGATTAGAACAAAAGAAATTCCACATTAGGGAGCTGGGACTAAAATTTTAATGATCAAAATCAGGATCTGCAGGACTTGTTCCATGCATACTCACTCACCATGGCTGTAATTTCATCGAAGGACTGAAGAAACTCCACGATTTTGGACTTGTGGGAAGGCTCCACTCTAGCAAAGCAGCGGGCGTTCAAGCAGGCGTCTCTTTGGGCTGGGGGGCTGAGTTCATCAAACTCGCGGCCTGTAAAAGCCTTTGCTGTCACATCCTCATCCTGGCCAAAGATGCCGATGCGGCGACAGATGGCCACAGCAGTGCCCTTGTTGTCCCCTGTGATCATGATAACACGGATTCCTGCTTGCCGGCACAGCTTCACAGAGGAGGCCACTTCAATTCTGGGAGGATCTAGCATGCCCACGCAGCCCACAAAGGTCAGATTGGTCTGAAACAAGAGAGCCACAATGAATTAAAACAGGACTTGTGTTGCCCACAGGCTGAACTAACTACCACTGAGCTATATCCCTAGCCCGTTATTTTCTTATGAGAGAAAGAGGGGGAAAAAAAGTCACTAAACACCCTTGTTACTAAATCATTCTTTAAACTCTTATAAAAATATTCTGAAATGGGGAAAAAACATACTGATAAGAGCATTTTGAGACTGGCCACTTCGGTGGCCCATAGTACCAAAGCTTGTTCCTTCTATTCAGAGGTTTAGGATGTCTCTTTTCTGATAGAGTATTCCAGTCTGAGGAGAAAAGTGGAAAAAATTCCCTCAACTTTCAATATGTAATGAATTATTTTAAAACAATCCCCCATTAATGTTTTTTAAAGTTTATGTGAATTTAAAAAGTAAATTTATAAGCTTATTTAAGCTCATCTTGATTATTCCACCTTGAAAGCAACAGACTTTTACTTAATTGCTAACTACCTATCTTCAGAGCAACAACTTAAATCATTAAGGGTGACTGTGTGTGGCCTGTGGAAAAACCAACCGCCACACCCTGTCCCTGGTGAGATCACCCAACCTCCTACCGGAAACAGCAGAGTCTGGACACATGCCCTGCAGGTGTGGGAGGAGACCATCAGCTACCTCATACTTAATGAAGTTGGCAGAGTCCTCCAAGTGCATCTCTTCTCTTCGCAGAGGGTTGTCATGAGTGGCCAGGGCCAGGCACCGTAGAGTGTCGCTGCCACTTCCCCACTCCCGAATGACAGACATGATCTTCTGTTTGACTCCAGGAGTCATAGGAACCTTCGTACTCCCAACTCGAATGTGGGTGCACCTGTCAATGACACCTTCAGGAGCACCCTGGAGATGTTAACAGATTTACATCAACAGTTTCACTTGCTGGCTCTCCAGGATCTCTACTCTGAAAAGAATACATCAACTACAACCTTTATACTTGCCTTCACAAACATCTTGCTCATGGATGTCCGGCTTGGTTTGTTTGGTGTACAATAAACTGACATTGATTTCCTATCGCGTGAAAACTCGAGAGTGAATTCCTTTTTCATCAGCTGTTTAATGACCTATAAGGAGAACAGAGACTGCTGATGATGACCATCTCTGCACAGCTTCCACGTGCCACTCGACAAAATGCCAGGGAATGACACTGAATAGATTGAACCCTGCCCCCTAGTCTTGGAGGTAGTAAATTTTAATTTTAAATTCTAGTGCTATGCTGGAAAAAAAAATTAAGACAGAGAAGGGGATAGAAAATTGTGTCTAGAAGTTGTAGAAGGCGGCAACGGCAGTAAACCCAAAAAAAGTCCCAGTGTAAGCCAGGTGGTGGCAACGTCGAAGCTCCATTAGACAACATGCAGCCTGGTGTGTTCTGAGGGCCAGTGCAGCTGCAACATAAGGAAGGACTGATGGAGACAGCTCATAGACCGGAGTCCCTGCAGAATCTTTTGTGCAATGACATGACTAGAGGCAATGCACTGGAGGCAGAGGCAGGTCTGCCCACCATGCTCTGCAGCGATGGCAATGCTGTGGCACCTCAATAAACTATTGTTAGCTTTATGTTTTCTAAATAGCGTTAGGCAGCTGGCAGCCACAATGAGACTTTAGCACATTGATAGTATTTAAACTTATAGGACCAGAGAGAGCCGAAGACCAGATGTGGGGCCTCCTACTCCTGGTGGGACATGGACGACAGCCAGAGCCGGTGGGAGGGAGGAGCCTGGAGTCCTGAGGGCCAAGTAGAGTATTGTTTTAAGGAGGGAGGAAGCCACAATGCCAACTGGTCAGCTTTAGACAGGCCTGAGGACCTTGAGCTCTACACTCTTAGCTGCAAATACATATTTCTGCTTTTCTGATTTTTTTCTCGTCTGTTGCGTAATCTACGACAGCCTGAATAGAGATCCTCAGTGGCTCTCTTGCCACTGAGCACACCAGCACAGGCTCTGCCTAAACACCCCACTCCTGAAGACATGCCCAACTGAACTGATGAGAGACAAAAATTTATCAAGTGTTTTTTTTTTTTAATCCAAGGAGATTATGGCCTTTCACCATTTTTTGGTTATATGATAAATTATATGGCTTTCCCCCCTATCAGATACACACTTATTAATTATGGAAATCCCCAAGAACCTCAGCATCTCATCTAGGAAGCTGCCCTACGACCAGAGTGTTGAGCTAGCCTCCCTGGGCTAGGAGTGTCAAGATCACCCTACCAGCCATTGAGCTGCCATAAGTGGCAAAGGGAAAGGTGTAAGCACTGAATCCTGCGTATGTTGTGTGCTTTAAGCATGTATATCAACAATGGCTCTAGAAACATGCCGTGACTCTGAGCAAGTGGTGGATCCACACAAGGAAAAGGTCCTGGTAGAGAAATAAAGACCAAAGTGAATTATTGCACTGTGGAGCTGGTCAAGGGTGGCAGTCCTAGCCAAGAGGGCAAACAGCTGGCCTTGGTCTTGACAGGCTCTTCTCTGAGTTGGGAAGGGGAACGTGAGGACTTTGCAGCAAGTGAGCAGCACCGAGGTCCCTTTGCCAAGCTGTTCCACCTGGCAGATGATTAAAGGGGCAGTCCTGTTTGTACTTGTGCCGGTCACCCTGGTGGCTAAGGTACCACTTTTCAGTTCCATGGTGCCACTTGCTTCTCCTTACTGAGCAGGTATAGTGAGGGGTCTAGAGTCAAATAGCTGTAAACCTGCATATAAAGCCAAGTTTTTGGGTGGCCTCTGATAGTCGTAGCAATACCACTCTCATGTCTGGCTTTGAAAGGACCTGCCTGCTTGCTTACTAGCTGCCAAGCAGTGGTTTTAACTGCAGTCTGAGATTGGACAGTCCCAGTTTCACACCAGCCACACAAGCAGAGAAAGGATGCTACAGAGCTGCCCCAGGCTTACACAGCTATGAGGATATTTGTCACTCAAGTACTTGCCAACTGAGACAGACACTACACTTCAGCAGAGACAGCTTAATTCTGGGGAGGCAGCAAAATGATGCAAAGGAAAAACTGGTGCTGGGGTGGGAGGCCACCAGGCAGGCAGGCTGTGTCACCTGCCTGCAGGGGGTCAGACTGTTCTTCAATGCCTCAGACTCTATGTGGTCACTGATATACTTCTGTGAGATCCTTGGAGAACAGGTGGATCCCTCAGGGTGGTGTTGCCCTAGTCTTCCCTAACACACTGCATTTTGATTGATCTGGTTTGCTAGAAATAAAAGGGTGACTTACAAAAGCTTAATAAATGTACCCATAACTGACCATTTAGTAGAAGCGAGTCTTTCCTTTATACAGCTTGCTTTCTAAAGAAAGAAAAGAAAGAAAGAAAAGAAAGCAGGCAGGCAGGCTTTTTACCTCTCTCTGGTAACTATCTCCTATCCCAATTTCTCCAAATTTTACAGGGAACCCTACAGACCAAAGTTCTACAAAGGTCTCAAGTACCAATAAGCAGCCAGCCACCTGGTGATGACAAGCCTGACATCTAGGAGAGGTGTACCTGACTAGGCAAGGTGGTATACACCTATAATCCCAACTATTCAAAAGGCCACTTGAGCTCAAGAGTTAAAGATTAGTCTGGGCAACATAGTGAGATCTTGTTTGTCCCCAAAAGAGAAACTTCTAGCAGAGCCCGATTACATAGAAATCTAACTGCAGGCAGAAGGCAGCGGTTACACAAGACTAGTTCTTTGCTGGCCATTGAGCTAGAGGACCCAAAGGAGGATCTATCTCATGCCTGTGTAGGGTTTGGAAAGCAGGTAGCTGGTTTCCACACTGGTACAGGGAGCAATGTGGGGTTAACCACAGCTCTGCTACCTAAGCAACTGGCCTCTCAGAAACAGCTGCAGTACAGCCTGGAACTGGGCGTTGGCTTACTGGGATGGGAACCAAATGCAACTGGGCCTGACTTCTATCCTGAAGTTTCTGCTATTCCTGCTGGAGGCTCTCCCTTCTCTGATACACACCCCCTGGCTTCTGCCGTTGCCATTCCTCAGTCTCCTCAGCTTGCTCTTGGCCTCATGCTGCTGCTCTACCACCACACAACATGGTGTTCTCAACCCATCAGCACAGCTTCCATTACTACTGCAGCTTGTCTATACGCTGACTCTCATCCAAGCAGTTATTCATCACATTAGTCAGGACGGGACAGAAGGGGATTGTCCTTTACATCTAGTCCCTTCTGGATCTTGGTCTGAGCAGTGACATGCAGAATGACCAGTTTGGGGCTGAGGAGATCCCAGTGCTGGTAGCCACTGCAGACTGTTTTTACTCAAGTATAGCCTCACTAAATTTGTGAGACCACAGAAAATTAAGAACAATACTATAACAGAAGAGATTAGCATGGCACCCTGGGGCAGCAGCTCCTGACTAGGACCCTTATGAGGCTCAGTTCCAGTCACTGTAGGTCTCTATCCTTGCTACTGGCCTTGGCCATGATAATGCTGGCTGAATGAGGCCTGCTTGAAGACAGAAGGACAGGACCTGGGAGGCCACTCCTTTGTTCACCACTCAATAACGCCCATGTTCTCTACCACTCCAACAGACCTCTGATAACAGAATTATGCTGACATCATCAAGTGAGTCAATAAATATTTTTTCCCTTCCCCTTATTGAAGTCTATGTAAAACTTGTATTATTTCTTCCTTAAATGTATTTTTATTTTTTAAAAAATATTTATGTAGTTGTAGATAAACACATAGTATTTTTATGTGGTGCTGAGGATCAAACCTAGTGCCCCACATATGCAAGGCAAGCGCTTTACCGCTGAACTACAGTCCCAGCCCCTTAAATGTATTTTAAGTTGTTGATGGACCTTTATATTTTTTATTTATTTGTATGTGGTGCTGAGAATTGAACCTAGTGCAAGCACTCTATCAATGAGCCATGACCCAGCCCTTCCTTAAATGTTTAACAGAATTGGGCACACTGTGTTTATTGTGGAGGCAGATTTTAAATTACAGCTTCTTTTAAACCATTACTGAAATTTTCTTGTGTCCACTTAAGAAGTTGTGTCCCTGAAGGGCTGGGTGAATTTCTTCTGTTGAATTCCCCCATCAGTGTTGAGGACTGAACCTGGGAGCACCCTTCCACTGAGCCGCATCCCAACCTCTAATAAACTTATTGATGAAGTTAATAATTCACTTTTTTTGGGTGCTGAGGATTGAACCAGGGCCTTGTATAATCTGAAAGTACATTATCTACCAAACTAAGCTATATCCTAGCCCTGTTAACTGGTTGCTTTCTTTTTTTGGACTAGAGACTGAGCTCCATCGCTACCCTATTTTTATTTTGAGACAGGGTCCCTCTAAGCTCTGAGGCTAGCCTCAAATTTGGGATCCTCTTGGCTCAACATCCTGAGTTGCTGAGATTACAGGCATGCATCACCATGCTCAGCTCCCACAACTGATTTTTTACTTTATTATTTTACTTTTTTTTCCCCTAGTTGTAGATAAATAGAGTATTTTTAATATGTATTTTCTAGTTGTTGATGAACCTTTATTTTATTCACTTATTTATATGTGGTACTGAGAATCGAACCCAGTGCCTCACACGTGCAAGACAAGTGCTCTACCACTGAGCTGTAGTCCCAGTGGTAGCTCAGTGCTAGATACTTTTACTTTCTTAAGATAGAAGATTTTTAGGGGCTAGGGTTGTAGCTCAGTCGTAGAGTGCTCGCCTGGTGCGTGAGAGACACTGGGTTCGATCCTCAGCACCACATAAAAATAAATAAATAAATAAATAAGGTTGAGGTATTAAAAAATGTTTTAAAAAGTTTTTATCATTGATTTTTAATATTTCTTTTCTAATCTACATATTTAATAAATTTCCCTTGAACAATGCTTTAGAATGGTGTTATGGATATTTAATTCAAAACATTCTACCTAGATTTTAGGTGGGTTGGTGGCACACAATTGCAATCCAGCTTCTCAGGAGACTAACAAAAGAGGATTTCAACCTCAAGGCCAGCCAGTGAAACTCAGAGAGAAACTGTCTCAAAATTAAAAACAAAATGGGCCAAGAATGTAGCTCAGTAGTACAATGTCTCTGGGTTCAATCCCCTGTACTGATAACAATAAAATCACCTCTAATTTCCACTATGGCTTTTCTTTTTTGACCCATTCCTTGGGAATTTGCTGAGTCTTGCTTCATTCTATGGACCAGCAGTACCATCTACTCAGGTGAATGATCCACGTGCATTTGAGAAGCACAAGTAAAAAGCAGCATAACAGAAATACAGATTTGGTAACATCTACTATTGTTCAAATCTCTTGCATTACTACTGTTATTTCCATTTGCTTATTATTAAACTGATCAGTAAGATAATTGCATTAAAACCTTCAATTCTTATTGTAAACTTTTTTTTTTTGGGGGGGGGGGGGCGGCCAGGCTGCTGTTACCGAGGATTGAACTCAGGGGCAACTCAACCACTGAGCCATACCCCCAGCCCTATTTCATATTTTAGAGACAGGGTCTTGCTAAGTTGCTTAGCAGCTTGCTTTTGCTGAGGCTGGTTTTGAACTCACATTCCAGCTGCCTCAGTCTCCTGAGCTACTGTAGACTTCTGTTTCACTTCACACTTACACAAATCCTTGCTTCATGTGCTTTACATAAATAATGTAACCATTGGATTTAGCATAAGATCATAGGTAAATGACAGTTGTCTTTTTTTTTTTTTTTTTTTCACGATACCGATGTGGGGTGGGGTGGTAGGGAAACAGCGGGGATTGAACCTGGGGCCATTTTACCACTGAGCTACATCCCCAGTCCTTTTTATTTTTTGAGACAGGGTCTCCCTAAATTTGCCTAGGCTGACCTCAAAACCTGTGATCTTCCTGCCTCAGCCTCCCAGTACATCCAGTACATCCAGCTAGATGTTTATGTGCTAGTAGAGACAAGAGCTTGTTTAAAGTGGACTCAAGAAAACAGAATGACACAGAATTAGTACATAAAAACAGCTCTTCCTCAAGAAGTTCTACTGTGTAAGAAAAGAAAGTGGGATGCTGATGGGAAAATAAGGTTAAAGGAAAGTTCTAAGATAAAAAACATTCTATTATTTCCCCCTTGCTAAAGATGATCACCTAAGAGCTGGATACTGAAACAAGAGAGATGGTAGGAGGCTTTTGCTGGAAGCAAAGACAGCCCATTCACAGCATCCTGGGAGAAGGCATCTCATGAACACAGAAGATTGCCCCTGGTTATCTATTGATTGCTTTTATTTTCTTGGTCCAATAGATAACAAAATTGTTTTACCTGATCAAACATAGGGACAGAAAAGTTGCATATTTGAAGAAAGAAGGTATAATGAGTTGTTCAAGAGAGCGAATGAACTAAGTACATATGGTACAACTGATGGCCAAATACTAACCGAGTTGCAGGCATTTGCCCGTTCTATTTTAGAAAGACCCTTCAATTCAGTATCAAATACATTCATCTTCTCTACCAGGCAAGTGAGAGCAGTCTCTGTAGCTTCTCCAACTTTTTCGTACACACCTTTTGCCTGTAATGATTAAGAACACAGAAAGTGAAAAGGGAGAAGCAGCAAACAGGTAAATTTCTCTTTCGTATTTTTTCATAGCACATGTCTTCCCTTGCATCATTACTCTAAAGGCTGTTTTTACCTTGCTCTAGACCCAGATATTTAAAAACACATTTGAAGTATAGGTACACATTATCTTATTGTAGTAATTAGTCTTTTCATTTCCTTTAAATATATGAAACCACTAGTCACGGTATTCAGAGTTTTCAAATAGTATTTATAATTTCAGGCCATTGCTTATTATTCTGAACAGCAAACATTTGTCTCTGATGGAGATAAAAAGCAAAGGATTTACCTTACTATATGATAAAAAAGTTTTTCTGTTGGCTAAATCAAGGACATATGTTTATCTATCTTAAGCAAAATCAATACACGAGGCTCTCAGGAAAAATTCTTTCTAACCTGGGTTTTATTCATTTACAGTAACTAGTGTCAACAGCCAAGATCATCACACACACCACAATTCTTAGTCAAGGAACTGCAATACTCAATCATAAGACTCTAGGAAAAGATGCTCAGCTTTTTTTTGGCTGGTCATGCCTGACAAACAGGCTCTTGAATGGAAAGGGGAAATAAATAAAGCCACCCATAAGGAAACTCCAGGTTCTAGTTTCTCACTAAGATTCTTACCTCATTATAATCCAAAGCAGAGTCATTACAAAGAGCACAAATTGTTGCTAATTCTACCAGACCATCATATTGATGACATTTCACTGGTTTATCATCTTTATGCCTAACAAACAAGAAAACATTGTTGGATCAGTGTCATCTCTGCTGATACCTCTCCCCAAAATTAATAATGAAAATAGAATTTGAGACCACAGACTTGAATGCATTCAAAAGAATTTGATGGCTCTTTGAAATGTGATGTTGAAGCTGGGCACAGGCCTGTAATCCTAGTAACTCAGGAGGCTGAGGCAGGAAGATAACAAGTTCAAAGCCAGTCACAGCAACTTAATGAGACTATGTCTCAATATAAAAAGTGAAACTGTGGATGTGGCTCAGCGGCAAAGCATTCCTGGGTTTAATCCCCAATATTACCCTCACCCCAAAAGAATGCATCTCTGTATCTCTGTTAATGGGAAATCAGTAAAAGAAATTCTTTATCAATTAAACTCCACCACTGGTATCAATGAAGAATAAAAACCCCACTTGAAATTTTGAGCTTTTAAAGGGAGCTAAATAAAGATGAAAAAGATGACTGGCTTATAACTTTTGTCTTTCACCAAATGTGCTATATTTTGTTTTTTGGAACACTGCCTTACACCACATTCAGAATGCCACCTCAGTTTTTTGTTTATTTTTTGTGGTGCTGGGGATTGAACTCAGCCTAGTACATGCCAGGCAAGTGCTCTACCACTGAGTTATCCCCCAAGCCCTATCTTAGCAAACCAACACAAACACCACAGTGCCAAACAGATCCTGTATGTGAAAAGCAGGATGGGTCACTCACACTTCTCCAATGGGTGCATATGTTGATCCGGTTATGGTAAACTCATTGAGTGAACAACTATCACCTTCAACTCTGTCCAGAATGAACATCTATAGGGGTAAAAAACATAACATTATTTAACAGATACAAAAAGTCCTGCTTAAAAAATTGATCTTTGGGGAGCTGGGATGTGGCTCAGCAGTAGAGCGCTCGTGTTGCATGCATGAGACCGTGGGTTCGATCCTCAGCACCACATAAAAAATGAGTGAAATAAAGGTATTGTGTCCAACTAAAAAAAAAAAAAAAAAAAGATCTTTGGGGGCTGGGGTTTTGGCTCAGATACTCAGATGTAGGGTGCTCACCTAGCAAGTGCGAGGCCCTGTGTTCAACCCTCAGCACCACATAAAAATAAATAAATAAAAGTATTATGTCCAACTAAAACTGAAAAACAAATAAAAAAATTGATCTTTGGCAGTTCAATGCAAAAACAAACAAACCAAAACCTTCTCATTTAATAATTTTAACCTACCTCATTCATCCCATCCCACTTTCACCTACCAGTGTGAGAAACAGCATCAATGAGATGCTAAATCATTAATTTGCAGCAGTGGTAACAGATACAGACGACAGACAAAAACCTAAGATAAAGACTATGGGTCAGCAAAAGGTCAATTCTACTGACTTGGGTTTTTCTTTAGAATGCTCAGAATTCCAAATTTCAACTGGCTGAGAAAGTTGTTACAGCCTGATCTGATAAAAGTAATATTAGGTAGTCTGTATTTAGAGCAAAGCATGAAAGCTTAGAAAGAATAAACTCACATTTCAAGAGTTGCATAAACATTCCCTGAGTAAAATAAGACAAAGTACTTCTATGTACCTTCCCACTCACTTTATTATGGTAATAGCTCATTTTCTATGAAGGTATATAACTAGATGTATACAGTAAGGAGCCAACAGGGCTGAATGAACTGTGTCCTCTTGACAATACAGATGGAGGCTGGTTCAAGCAAAGTACTGCTCCCCTCCCCTGTTCCCCCAATGCTCAGCATGCATACTAGGCAAGTGCTGCACAACAGAGCTCCACCCAAGGGCCAGAAAATTCTTTTTTTTTTTTTTTTTTTTAAGAGAGAGTGAGAGAGAGAGGGGGACAGAGAGAGAGAGAGAGAATTTTAACATTTATTTATTTTTTCTTAGTTCTCGGCGGACACAACATCTTTGTTGGTATGTGGTGCTGCTGAGGATCGAACCCGGGCCGCACGCATGCTAGGCGAGCGCGCTACCGCTTGAGCCACATCCCCAGCCCCGAAAATTCTTAATATTATGGAGGAATCAGTGATGTGAGCTACTTTCTTACATAAAATTTTTTCTTGGTTTGCTTCCAAAATATAATTCAGAAGCCCAATTTACAAGAATAAGATTTAGACTTGTAGTTTCATTACAAACTGAAACCATAAACCTTTCTAAAAAAAAAAACTCCCACAAATTCCAAAGAAACAAAAACACATCTCAACTATACAAAAAAGAAAAAAGATTGGTTTTTCTGAGCTGTATTCCTAGTGACACAAGAGATTGAGAAAGAAGGATTTCAAGTTTAAGGCTTAGTTAATCCCTGACTTTTTTTTTTTTTAAGTGGTGCTTGGGGATTGAACCTAGGACCTTGTGCATGCAAAGCAAGCATTCTATCAACTGAGCTATATCCCCAGCCCTAAACTCTGTCTTAAAATAAAAAGGATTGGGGATGTAGCTTTGTGGAAAACACCCGTGGGTTCAATCCCCAGAACTAAGAAAGAAAGAAGATCCACATTTAATGAGAAAAAAAATCAGCTAATTTTTAAAATAACTTATTTTGTCCCACAAGATTTACTTCTTATACAGCAGATACTTTTAAATTCCAAAGGCAGACTCAGAAATAAAACATCACTGAAACGGAACTAAAAAGCTACGAGTAAAAAAGACACCACAAGGTGATTTAAAAATAAAATTTTTTTTAAAATCCACACATAAAATGGAATTCAAAACAGTGATAACTCTAGAGCAAAGATTCTAGTTCAAATAATTTGTCACGAGTTTATAACTACTCTGTCAAAAAGATTTATAACCAAGGTCAGGCATAGCATTCTGTCCCAGCTCCTGCCATATTTTTTCGAACACACAGATCATGTAATAAACAAAGTTTGTCAAAAATACTTTAACAGCATCAACCCCCAACTCTATTAAAAAAATTGTTTTCCCCAATGATATTTGGCATTTTATAAACCCAATTACTAAGTGGGCCAGGTTTAATTAACCCATTTTTCCTACAAGAAAATTCAACTTTGCCTTTTATTATAAAAGTTGGGTCACTCTCAGACTGTCACTTAACTTCTCAGCCTTAGTTTTCTACTTTCTCGAGCAGGACTGTCAAACATTTAAATAATGTCACATATGAAAACAAATTAACTGCACTAAATAGAAATCAAAACAATGGGGCATCATTACTACATACCATGGTTTTTTTTGCTGCTGCTATTGTTTTTTTCCTTTTTATGGTGCTGGGGATGGAACCCAAGGCCTCGTGCATGCAAGGCAAGCACTCTACCAACTGATATATCCCCAGCCCTCATGTTATTTCTTAATGATACTCCATTTGAAATTCCACCTGGCATGCCTGCAATACCAACAACTCAGAAGGCTAAGGCAGGAGGATCCAAGTTCAAGGCCAGCCTCAGGTACTTAAAGCAAGTTAGTAAGACCCTGTCTCAATTTTTTTTTTTTTTTTAAAAGGGATAGGGCGGGCTCGGTGACTCAAGCCTGTAATTCCAGTAGTTCAAGCCTGTAATTCCAGTAGTTCGGGAGGCTGAGGCAGGAGGATCTGAGTTCAAAGCAAGCCTCAGCAAAAGCAAGGTGCTAAGTAAGACCCTGTCTCTAAATAAAATACAAAATGGCCTGGGGATGTGGCTCAGTGGTTGAGTGCCCGAGATCAATCCCTGGTACCACCCCCCCAATAAATAAATAAAATAAAAAGGGGTTAGGGACGGAGCTGTAGGGTGTATTGGTGGAGGGAAGTGAAATTCCTTGAATTTATAACAGAGTTTAATATATTCTAGAAGACACTCAAAATTCTAATCCACACCACCTAACTTTAGAAATGTGCTTGGGAATTCAGACTGTGACCAAGTAAACCATTTTGGATCTGCAGGGTGGAATTGTCTTAAGTCAAGGGTAGTTACATAACACCTCTGCAAATGTTGTGCAGAATACAAATTCTACATCAGGTTTCTGCTGGGAGGCAGAACACAACTCAGAAAAGACAGCCCTTTCCCTCTACTGTAAATAAAAAATAATCTGAGGAAGAATAAAAGAAGATAAGAGCAACAACAGTAACAACAATAAACTAGGAAACTGAAAACAATTTCATTACATTAGTTCAAATAAATTCATATACATTAGTTTCTTTCATGGATGTAACAACTATTCTGAGGAATTAAAACTTTAGGGCTAAATTTATTTGGGGGAAACTAAATTGTAAATACAATTTCCATTTCTTTGTCTCAAACAATTAGTATAACAAAACTAGCTTCTGACTAATTCTCCAACCTTTCAGTTCTAAGAAAAATGAACTAACCACACCAATCTACCGCCCCAGAGAGAACCAAGGAAAACTCGGAAGCTCTTTAAGAATCTGACCATCAATTCTAAACCTGGGTTTGGACCTCTCAATATTGGGAGTTGGGGGGTGGGACCATATCTAAAATTCACAAGGAATTCAAAATTGGCAAGATAAACATTCATAGGGCTTGATGTTAAACACACACATACATACACAAGCCCATGTATATATGTTTCTTAAACTCAAGAGATAAGGTCAAGAGGACAACTCTTACCTTTCAATGTCATACAAAGGCATTATGTAACAAGTCCATTCAGGTGCAGATTTGTATCCTATAACACTATAACACTATAACTATAACTTCCCTATAACACTAACCAATTCTGCAATCAAGCCTACCAATCCATAATATTTTGTTTACTTTCTTAATTTCCTTCTTACAGCCAATTTTACAGATTTCCTGCTTATTAGTTAGCCCAATAAAAACTTTTAACATGCATACAGTCTACATTTGTATGGGTCATTTGTACCTTTAGCAAAATACTCATACCAAGTTGTTTTATTTCTTCAGCTCTTATTTTTTCAATAAGGGCATGTTTAAATGGTTTCTTATCTTACCCTGAATGAAGATCAAACAATATAAGAAAGGAAGGATATGCCTACGAAATGAAGCAAGTCATAAAACAATTATTTACTGCTCAGGAAGAAAGCATGCTTTATTTAATGTTTTACGGAAACAGCCATTAGGACTTCAGGTAGGAGGTTAACTAATAGCTTCCTCTATATATCTGTTAATATTCAGATGCCAAGAGGCAGAGGATGGGAAATCAAGAAGTCTCCATTATCTCCATAAAAGTTAGCAGCTACTTAGACATCCCATATTTCAAAAGACAGTTTCATTTCCTCCCAAGTATTTACAGATTGGGCTTAGACCTTCCACACAACCCACAGAATGGTAGAAATCAGAAAGCAAAGGTTCTGATGGCATGAGGTATATTGTCAGGATGAGCACAGAACCATTATAGGAAAGAGTCTTAAAGGACACCCTTACCCTGCAGACTGACATCTGGTTTGTTGTAAGTGTGCCAGTCTTGTCTGAGCAGATAACAGAAGTACAACCAAGAGTTTCCACAGAAGGGAGGCTTCGGACAATGGCATTCTTCTTTGCCATTCTTCGAGTTCCAAGAGCCAGGCAGGTGGTGATGACAGCAGGCAGACCTTCAGGGATGGCTGCAACAGCCAGGGCCACTGCAATCTTAAAGTAGTAGATAGCACCTCTGATCCAGGAGCCACCGTGAACTGGGTCATTAAAGTGCCCAATATTTATGATCCAGACTGCAATGCAAATAAGGGAAATGACTTTGGAAAGCTGTTCCCCAAACTCATCCAGTTTCTGCTGAAGGGGTGTTCTCTCCTGTTCTGTTGCAACCATTTCATCCCTGATTTTGCCAATTTCAGTGTTGACTCCAGTTGCCACCACCACTCCCATGGCTTTCCCAGCAGCAATGTTTGTACCCTAGGGAGAAGTAGAGAACTGGTCACATTCCAAATTAAATACTGATCAGTTAACCCAGACCCTGGATTTTGACCATGACCCCCAGATTCTCTCACCATGTTCTACTAGGCCTTCTCAACTGTGCGTGAGCAATGCCTCTTGAAGGCACCAAGGTACTTCCCCAAACCTGGCCTGGATTCCAGGCAGTGCCTACTTAACCCAGAGCAGCAATGTGCTGACCCACTGGATCTCTGTTCACAAGATGCAGCCTAGTTTGTAGGCCTTGGGCATGGCAGCACTCCAACCATTCCGTGTTCCCAGGTTCTCAAACTCCACAACTCTTTTTTTTAAAAAATATTTATTTTTTAGTTCTCTGCGGACACAACATCTTTGTTTGTATGTGGTGCTGAGGATCGAACCCGGGCCGCACCCAGCCCCCTCCACAATTCTTAACTCTATGCTTTCTTCATTTTCAGCTCCAACAGCTGAGGCTCTCCTACTTTTGTCAGCTATGATAAGAAGGGCAACCAGCCCCACAGGCTATCTGGAGGAGCTGTACTTAAGCACCAGAATTCAAAAGTCAACAAATTCAAGTGTCAGTGTCCTCTCCCTATTTCACTTTACTTCCTACCATTGAAATTATATGGCTTACTTTGACTATAATTCATTATTTTACTTACATTGGCTAAGCTCTTATTAACACATAAAATTCCATCATTTGAAATATCACTCTAGATTCCACAACCATTTCTATGGTATTTAAGAATTAAATAGTACAATTAACATTCACCTACCTGTCACCTAGACTGAAAAGTTTGCCTGTTTGTACTTTCTGCAAACACACACCTTTTCTTTGTGAGCCAGAAAGAACAGCAGCAGCAGTAGCACCTACCCCATTCTGAAAACACTCTCTGCAGGCTAAGGCTTCTCCAAACAAACTTACTTTTTCAATTATGTTTATAGAATTTCACCATGTTTGACCTAATCTTTTTTTCGTCCCTCAAAACTTGCCAATCAAAACAAAAGACAACATTCCACAACTGGGTTATCATTGGATTTTTTTTTCTTTTTTTTTGGTGATAGATTGATGTCAGGGCCTCTTACATGCAAAGCATGTGCTCTACCACTGACTACACCCAGAGCACTATTATTGATGTTTTCTGACAGCTGAGACTAACCATAAGAGTGTAATTATCCTTTGGAATAATACCCAATATTTTCTAAAGCCGTTGAAGGCAGCCAGTGAAAAACAACATCCATGGATCTTTAAAAGTCCAGGTATGTCTCCAGGTAAAAATACATTTGAGCCAGATGTTGTGGTGCATACCTATAATTCCAGCAGCTAGGGAAGCTGAGGCAGGAGACTGTAAGTTGGGAGGCCAGCCTGGACAGTTTATTGAGGCCCTAAGCAACTCAGTGAGACCCTGTGTCAAAGGAAAAATGGCTAGGGATGTGGCTCAGTGATTCAATCCCCAGTACATAAAATAAAATAAAAAACAGAGGGAAAAGATGTAGCTCAGTGGCACAGTGGGTGCTCAGCATGTGTGAGGCCATGGTTTCAATCTGCAGCACCATCAACTCTCCCCACCTCCCCGGAGGAATATGATAGGGTACTCACAGAAAACAGCATATTCTTTTTATCTTGGTTGACAGCCCGTGGGTCAGGAACAGGGTCGGTGTGCTTAATAACTGAAACAGACTCACCTAAGCAGGTTGTGAGACAGAAGATACAGTTAGATCTGGCACCCCCAGATCCCAGGAACCCTCATCCATATCAACCCATTTCCATTTTAGGGATATTATCAACTTGGGAAAAGGAACATAAGGTCCAATCCATTAAAAAGGGGCAAACTATGATAATTTAGAAATGGAAATTCCAGAATAAAGAATGTGAAGATAAAGTAATTTTAATTTCAAAATAAAGGAGGAGCTAAATTTTGAAATAAAATTCCAATCATATTTATTTTCTGGAATAACTAGTGGAATTAATTTACTACCCTATACACTATTATGAATCTGACAAAAGATATGGTTCCTCATTTGGCCTAAAACTATATTGTTATAGATTATTTAACAAGACACTTTGAAGCATTTTTAAATAGCAACTGTTAAGGGAGACCCACCCTGAGAATTTCAGGCCTTCAACCCAATCATTTCCTTAACATTTTATGGCTTAAATGGCTTGCAGCTTGTTGCTGCTAATGGGAGTTTAGATAAGCTATTCATGTAACAAAACAATTAAAATTAGGAGCCTAGGTTACTCATTCATGGTATCTATGACATTAGTTGCTTTTAAAAACTGATAATCAGATAACTCTTGGTAGCCTTTAGATTTTATGTTTACTAGCTATTTAATTCAGGTTAGTATTGTTTTCAGAGTTAATCTTCTGACAACCTTACTTCCAGTCAATTGGAACCCTCCACCCTAAATTGTGCCTTTATCACACAAAGAAAGGAAAATGAAAAAAAAAAAAATCACAAACCTAGGAATGCAAACTGCAGGTAGCTAAATAGTTGCCTTTTTTGGCTCACAGTTATTAATTGTACCTTTGCTTATTGCAAAGTATGTAGATGCAAGATTAGTACTCCTCCAGTGGGAAAAACATCTCAGCATTGAATCAGTCACTTTCCACAAAATAGGAAAACATCTCAGATTATTAGTCTCAATTAATGAGAAATTTGTAACCTTTTTTTAAAAAGTAAAATTGATTTTATTTTAAAACCAAAACTGTTTTTTTGTAGCCGGGCACACCTGTAATCCTGAAGCTCAGAAGGCTGAGACAGGAGGATGGAGATTCAAAACCAGCCTGAGTAACAGCGAGGTGCTAAGCAACTGTGAAATCCTGTCTCTAAATAAAATACAAAATAGGGCTGGGGATGTGGCTCAGTGGTCAAATGCCCCTGAGTTCAATCTCTGGTCCCCCCGCAACCCCCACCAAAAAAAAAAAAAAAAAAAGTCAAAGCCCTAAGAAAACAAATATCAAAGAAGAGAGAATTAGGGTGAAATACCGTAAGGGACAGTGGGCAAGAGCTAACTCTATTAGCATGGGAAATGAGAGGGTTGAGCAATGTCAGTGACTTTCCAATATGCTAATACTTACCAGTGAGAATCGACTGGTCAACTCTCAAAGTTGTCGATTTGATGGAAGTCAATCTTATATCAGCAGGAACTTTGTCACCAACTAAGGGAAGGAAGAGATAAAGTGAGCAAGTTTTGCCACAGTTATAATTATAACCATATTATAATTTTACTTCAAATCAAACATAATTCTTAAAGAAAATAGTCTATATACAGTACAAAATACAAAAGTCACTAAAACAAACAAATGATCAACCTATCTCAAGTTCATAAAAACTGTGATAGTAGCACTCTGAGGCTGTGGCAGAGTGCTAAGGCCAGCCTGGGCAACTTAGCAAGATCCTGTCTTAAAATAAATAAGGGCTGGGGATGCAGCTTAGTGGTACAATATCCCTGGATGAGGATCGCAAGTTCACAGAAACTTCAGAGGAGCTAAGGAACTCAGTAAGACCTAGTTCCCCACCCCACTCCCAATCAATCTATCTCCAGATTAAAAAAAAAAAAAAAAAAAAAGTTTGGCTACATACATGCTCATATAGGCCACCAAGCTTTCGCTGTGTAATAAGTAAGGTATTTCTTAGGCTTCCTATATCTTGTGATTCAGTTCATTAAGAACAGTTACATTATTATGAACAGGAAACAGATGGTTTTCCAAAAAGATGCTCAATTAACCTCACATAAGATAATTCAAAAATAAATCTGGAGCCGGGCACAGTGGTGCATGCCTCTAATTCTAGCAGCTTGGGAGGCTGAGGCAGGAGGATCGTGAGTTCAAAGCCAGCCTCTGCAAAGCTGAAGCACTAAGCAACTCAGCAAGACCCTATCTCTAAATAGAATACAAAATAGGGCTGGGGTTGTAACTTAGTGGTCGAGTGTCCCTGAGTTCAATCCTCAGTACCAAAAAAAAAAAAAAAAAGAGTACAGGGCTGGGGCTGTAGCTCAGCAGTAGAGAGCTTGCCTAGCATGTGTGAAGCACAAATAAAATAAAGGCATCCTGTCCATCTACAACTACAAAAAAAATTTTTAAATTTTAAAAAAATCTGTACAGACACTACTTTTAACTATGAATCTAATAAACAAAAACTATTAATGTGGGAAACACTCATGTAATATCAACAGGCACATCTGGTATTTACAACTCCCTTCCAGACTTTGTGATCACCCTGTATGTGTGCTACTGGTCAAAGAGGAAGGCTGCAAAATTTGGCAGGCAAACTGGCAATATATACCCAAACTGCAAAGCACAACATTTTTACCCCATAACTCCATTCCTTTCCCATACCAGGGATTAAATCCAGGTGAAGCCACCAGAGCCATATCCCCAGTCCTTTTTTCTATTTAGAGACAGGGTAGTCCTCCTCTTTAGCCTCCTGAGTGGCTGGGATTATAGGCATGCATTACCATACCCCTTTTACCCTAATTCTCCTACAGGAATTTACCCTACTGACACTGCTCACAGAGCACGTGTTTAATTCACAGCACAGTCTTTTGGTAATAGACTCTACTAACAATAATGTGAAAACTTCCTCTAAGACACAATGCACGCTGAGTATATCTTAGATGTGAGTGATGTGTATGGGGCTGCCAGTGGCATAAGAAAATACCTCTGGGAAGGTGTTAACAAACTGGAAACACTGGGGCATGGATGGAGGAGACTTTCTCACCTTATTTGCTCTGGTACCCTTTGAAAAGTGTATTATCACAAATTAATAAAACTTTTGCATAACTTGAAAAAGATCTTTTAGTCAACTGAACTTTCTTTCCTAGGCTAAAGAATTCCTTTAATAACTCTTTAAAGGGACCATATCTTAATCCCTGGAGGCTGGAGTATCTCAAGTTCTAGGCCAACTTCAGCAACTGGGCAAGATTTTCACTCAAAATAAAAAACAAGGGCTGGGATGCAGCCTGGGTTCCATCCCTAGCATGTTGGCGGAGGTGGGTAGTGGAATGTAGGGGGCTGGGAGTGCAGCTCAGTGGTAGAGTGGCATAGGCCCTAGGTACTAGGATTCCACCCCTAGTACCATCATCCCAGAAGTGTAAAACAGCTTTCCATGACTTTCTGAAACCGGCGTGGTTTTATAAGTATTAATGTAAAAAATAAAAATTAAAATATCATTTGTAATTCTAGGGAGATTTATTCTAAAGTCAAAACTTCATTTTTCTAAACTTATTCTATATACTTAATTATTATTGTCACTGGTTATATGTAAAGTAACAAAATAGTCGTCCTGTTTAAGAAATAAATTTTGAAGAGAAAAAAGGTAAACACTGGACTTGTTAAATCTACAATTTAGTTTCAAATTTACACTTCAGAGTTTTTAAGAATATGATTTGCTTTTTTACCTTTAGTGCATGAAACAACTTTGCAGTAGGCAATGTGATTGCAAAATGGCACAGAAAGAGTAATACATAATCTCAAGAGGCAAAGATCATCCTAGCATTTGACTGCAGGGACACATACGTTGAGGTGAAATTCCTGCTGGAAATGCTTATGCAACGAAGAGCAATATTCCAAATGAATAAACCAGAACCTTTCATTTTAGAAAATTTAAAATTCTGTGCATGTTATGATGAAGGGTACACATCTAATGGATAAAGAAATAGCTAGCACAGATGAGGTCCTGGGTTCCATGCCCAGCACCAAAACAAAGCAATTGACACAGGAGAAACTGTGCTCTTCTCAAGCCAAAAAAAATCTGACATATAATCCTTAGTTCAGGCTCTCATATACATGACACATTTTTAAATGTACTTTTTTAAAATTATTTTTTGGTGGATACAATATCTTTATTTTATTTTTAGGTGGTGCTGAGGATTGAACCCAGTGTACCTCATGCATGCTAGGCGAGCACTCTACCATTGAGCCTCAACCCCAGCCCCTGACACATTTAAGACCAGCAAAGCTAGTATGCAAATTAGGGGCCAACTATAAGAGGATGCAAAAGTGCTGGGCTTGTTTTGCTGAATTTCAGTGTAAGAGCAGAGTCTTTTTTTTTTTTTTTTTGGTGTGTGTGTGTTGCTAAGGATTGAACCCAAGGCCTAGTGCATGTAAGGCAAGCACTCTACCAACTGAGCTGTGTCCCTACCCCTAAGAGCAGAGGTTTAGACAAACAGAAAACATTTTTTTTTTGAGGCAATAAATACCAAAGTTAAATTTCCAGGATAATACATACAGTCGCATTATCTATTAGGGTGGGACAAATACCACATTTGCTGCATGAAAAATACTTATATTGATGTTATAAATTAACCATCTAGTCTTCCTCTAAAGGTTGGGTTAAATATATAAACAGTGTCTTTCTTTAATGTATACAAAGTTATATTGTACACATTTAACTTTGACTCAATATTGAGAAATGAATGCCTCACATGTTTAAAGTACAAAAGATGGGGAAAACCCTTAAAAATTGCCTTCAATTCTTCTCAACCTTTTTTCCATCTCACAACTGACATTCTAATTAGAATGGCAATTAAGATGGGCATGGCATGGGCCTGTAATCCCAGCTATTTAGGAGGCTGAAGTAGGGCTAAAGTTCCAGACTAGCCTAAGCAATTTAGGTAAACCCTGACTCCAAAAAAAAAGGCCAGGGATGTGGTTTGGTTCAGTGATAAAGTGCCCCTGGGCTAAATCCCCAGTACCCATGCACAAAAGGCAATTAAAATTTAGTGACTGTCTAGTATGGCATTATGTAAAAATGTGAATGTGTAACCTATGTGATTCTGCAATCTGTATTTGGGGTAAAAATGGGAGTTCATAACTCATTTGAAACTATTGTTCGAAGTATGATATGTCAAGAGCTTTGTAAGGTTTTGAACAACCAATAAAAAAAAAATTAAAAAGAAAAGAAAAAGGCCAGTAATGTGGCTCATCATATAAAAAAAAAAAAAAAATTTAGTGACTGAAAGTCGATTGGGGGGGGGGGAGCTCAACAGCACACACCTGAAATCAAGTACTGTAGAAGATTTATTTTTTAAGTTGTAGATGAACATAATACCTTTATTTATTAATCATATGTGGTGCTGAGAACTGCCTCACACATGCCAGGCAAGCGCTCTACCACTGAGCCACAACCCCAGCCCTCCCAGGCAGAATGATCTTAAATTGGAGGTCAGCCCTGTCAAATTAACAAAATTCTCTTAAAGGGGGGGGGGGGAGGACTGGGGTTGTGGTTCTGCAGTATCTCCAGTCCTATGATTCACACACCCCCACCCCCGCAAAAAAATTTTGAGGCAGGGTTTTGCCAAATAGCTAAGTTGCTTAGGGCCTCCCTAAATTGCTGGTGCTGGCTTTGAACTCACAATCCTCATGCCTCAGTCTCTGGACCGCTGGGATTACAGGTGTGCACCACCACACCTGGCTAGGACTCCCTTTTCAATGCATTTGGAGCAGGACCTAGGACTTCACACATTTTAAATTTTTCCAAAAATCACTAGAAAAATTAACACAAGGGAAAAGTGCAAAACCACAGGATCAGAGATGTGTGAAGGGCTTGTTTAGAACAGCCTCTACTGTATGCTGCTTCCACTGTACTAGGACATTAGCTCTACTGTTAGAATATCTGACTTCTCAGCATTTGGGAAACTACTACTTAAAAATTATAGATTGCTATTTCCATTAGAAGATGACCTCTTTGTAGAAAGGTGCCAAAGCAGCATGAACCTGAATAGTTTTTTAAAATATATATATATTTTTAGCTGTAGATGAACACAATATCTTTATTTATTTATTTTATGCAGCGCTGAGAATTGAACCCAGTGCCTCACACATGCTAGGCAAGTGCTCTGCCACTGAGCCACACTCCAGCCACCCCCTAAACAGGTTTTTCAATCTTCTTGCTCAACTAATCCAACACTTCAGTTAACTGTGCTGTGGGGCTCTGCTTCACTCTTTCTGTTGGTAAGTCTATTTAGAATGGTCTGACCATTAGGAAGCAGGTTTTCTTAAGAAGGAGTTAAAAGATCTAGGAAGGACCCATGGAATACTTTTCAAAGACAACAATTTCCTTTTGTTCTGTGAATTATAGACAGAGGGTTTGTGCCTGAGGAGCAGGCAGTATTGTTCTGATGATCACATCCAGTAATATTTCCCTGATGGGGCATGTC